CCGCTTCACCACCTTAAATGGCGGGTGTTAATGGGTTTAAACATTGCCGCTTCACCACCATAAATGGCGGGTGTTATTGGGTTTAAACATTGCCGCTTCACCACCATAAATGGCGGGTTTTATAGGGTTTAAACATTGCCGCTTCACCACCATAAATGGCGGGTGTTAATGGGTTTAAACATTGCCGCTTCACCACCATAAATGGCGGGTGTTAACAGGTTTAAACATTGCCGCTTCATCACCATAAATGGCAGGTGTTAACGGGTTTAAACATTTTCCTCTACCCACTTAACCAGTTGGTTCTTTACGTAAATTTTTCCCCTCAATAACTTTACCAGCAGGTTATTTATATAGTTGTTTTCTTCTCAACCCATTAACCATAAGGTCGTCTATTTAAAACGTATGCTTATCCCTTCCTTTCCTAAAATCTGATCTTTAAAATATTCTTCAATTTCTGTATAGTGTTAGCTTTTTATTTCTGTTCACATCATATTTAAAAGGTTTATATTTGACGTTATTAGTAAAATGGATTAATTCTTAATCACTGTTACACTGCATACATTACCCTTAAGTTATATATTATAATTAGTTCAAATTCAGTTTATCTTCACAGAGACGGTTGGCTGTCTTTCCAGTCACTACTGGAGAAAGCTCCTTGCTCTCACCAGGTGAGCTGTAATCGTATGATTTTAGATATTATTAGAAATTAAGAAGATAGTGTCTTCACGAGCTTTTACTGCTGCTGAAGACTAGCATATTTTAAATTGACCTAAAAGTTACAGAGTGTTGTACGTAATGTTTTACATGACAGCTATATCTTGTGATATGTGAAATGAAATACAACTTCTAAACTTACAGAATATAAAATGACGTAATCCCTACGGCATGCTACCTAATAGCGTAGAATGTTATGCCAAATGACTTTAGCGTCTGAGTATGTTGCATACCGTGTAGATGTAATAAGGCATAATAGTTAGAGGTCGTTTCATGAGTTATAAAATGTAACAAGACGTGAAAACTAAAATTGTCCAGTAGTTTTGAAATACAAAACTATCGACTTTATTATACGGTCAACAGTGTGTTTCATATCGAACCTTTAAGTCAACAGTGTGTTTCACATCAAACCTTTATCTGGGTGTAATGCTCTTTAATGTTGTCTAGTTGTTCTGAAATACAAAATATATCTAACACACACATACACACTGTGCTAGTTGCTTGAAACAAAGCTTGTTTCTATGGTGTTTTTGTTGCTTTATTTCTGTGTACAGTGTGTACATTCCCGTAGTGACGAGGTCTTCTCCGTATTCTTCACCAGTGGAACTACAGGTCATCCCAAGATGGTGGAACACACCCATGCAAGCTATGGAATAGGACATCATTATACAGCAAAGTAGGGTTATCTTCATGTATTATACAAGATAAAAAAAAGAGTATTATATAATTTCAGAAACTTCCCCAAAGTTGGAAATACACAAAATTACGTTATTGGAGAATGTTTTATTATATAAATATGTAAATTATATAAATATTATCTGAGTGCGTACTTTGTAGAACGTTTTCTTGTTTGTTAGAGTTTTAGATCTGACAGAAAGCGATATCTTTTGGAATATTGCCGATACAGGGTGGGCTAAGACCGCTTGGAGTAGTATGTTCACACCCTGGTTAGCTGGCTGCTGTGTATTTGTTCACGAAATGCCCAAATTCGACCCATGTCTCGTTCTTAAGGTAGGTGAACTTTATACCTTCATAACTAAACGCAAACGCCACCTTGTGGTTTATTCAGAGCAGTTAGATCCACGTTTTGATCTTTAGTTATGTGGATTTCGTATTTTCCAAGGAAATGAAACGCCACCTTGTGGTCAATTATGAATAACTAATATAATCCACTCATTCAATACTTTGTGGGTTCCACAGAGACACCTTGTACCTATTAACAGCATACTTTCTTTTTGTAGACCCTTGAGAGGTATCCCATATCAACATTCTGTGCCCCACCGACAGCTTATAGGCTTATAGTGCAACAAGATCTTAAACAGTACAGTTTCTCTCACCTTCAAAACTGCTTGAGTGGAGGAGAACCTCTGGTAAGTAAGAGATTATAGATAACATACTGACCAATGTACGGGGTTCTACAAAGTAGTAGTGTGGGTAAGATCAAGGGTCATCTCGGCATATGTACGATGTTGAGAACCCTGGGAGAATATAGATAACATACTGACCAATGTACGGGGTTCTACAAAGTAGTAGTGTGGGTAAGATCAAGGGTCATCTCGGCATATGTACGATGTTGTGAACAGTGGGAGAATATAGATAACATACTGACCAGGATTACTAAATTACAGACTCACAAAGTGTACTGGTTGAAGGCACTGAATTACACGCAGAAATAACTGAATTTTACCAAAAGACAATTTATATATTGTAGTACATTAAACTACAGATTTATTTTATGTACGTTTTAGTATATTTGTTATTTTGTTATTATTAAAGATTCCAGAATCCAATTTATCTTTTACTAACATCCAACAAGTGCCTCTGTTACTGAACCTAAGAATCATGCGGTTTACTTCAAAGTGTTTTTTTTTTTCTTCTCTCTACGATGAAGAGCAATCAGTGACTCTATATTTTATCACCTGGCTGCGCATGTGGATCGCAGATTAAACAACAGTTTCTTATAGAGGGGTCCGAACTTTATGTATATGAAATACAGTGTTTTTCAACAATCATAGAGTAGTTTATGGTTTATGTGAATATTCTTTAAGAGTCAAATTCATTTCACCAGAACAAGGAATGAAGTGAATATTGTATGCACTTCGTGATCGTTCACATCACGTTCCATATCATCGGAACATCACTCAGGCTTTTCAGTTGTGCGAAGAAACAAAAAACAGCTCAGATGCAATAGTAAGAAATGCACGTCGATTTGATGGGTTTTTGTAATTCGCCTCTGGGAAAGAATATGTATTCTTACGCAGAAAAATAGATCAGGTAAACTTTGTATATGCTGTATTATTCACTCTTTCCAATGGAATTGTTCTACTGTAACCATGTTTCACTTAATAAATATTTTGTTTTCCAAGAAAGTTGGAAATGATTTCAAGTTTTACGAAATTATTCACAATTTCAAACGTAAACAATTAATTGGCGGAGATACACATATGACGTAGCAAGACAATTGTCCAAAGTCTATCCTTCTCGTAAATTATACGAGTCAAGTAAGTTATTTAAGGTCATATTACTGATATTATTGTTATATTTTGGTTATTATAGCTATTTGGAATTGTTTATTTCATTTATGAAGGTATTTATGTTTATGTACTTTAAAAATATAATTGCTTATGGTAGCTTTTAACTTCGGTCTTTCTGTTTCAGCTGCCACACTAGTACTGTGTTACTTTTAATCGCTTAGTTAGTGTTAATCTTCATTTTGACATTAGAATAACGTGATTGAAAGTAGTCTTATTGCATTAGAGGTGTTTTCTCTTCAAGGTACAGCGGAAAAGCCCGAGTGATATGTCCGAGTGGTTACATATCACCTGATTTTGTGAACAGCACGCGGTAAACGGGACTCCCTAAGATAAAAATAAATTCATCAGTTCTCCAGATTATGTTCTTTTTTTCACGATATCTCTTGACAGTTGGACTCAGTTATTCGTGTTTTCTAGAAACATATTCATAATTGTAAATATTGTTTTCACTTCATAGAGATTATTAATTATTTTTTAGGAAAAGTCAATAAAATATTTTTAATCCTATTAAAAACATTGTTTTGGTCTTACAGATGTACAAAGTGTAGTGGAATACTGGATAACATTGTTACAGATATACAGAGCTAAAGATGTACAAAGTTACACAGTGTAGTGGAATACTGGGTAACATTGTTACAGATATACAGAGCTAAAGATTTTGAAAACTAAAAAAAAATTATTTAAAAAATAACGATTATTTTATACACAATTCAATAAAATGAGATTGTTTTATCGTTGTTGTTTATAGGAAACGCACCATAGATTTGAAATATAAGTCAGTGAAAAGGGTAAAACCTCTGCTAGGGCTGGTGAAAGGAAGTT